GGAGCTTCCCTCCGCGCTCTCGCTGTTCATGACACTCTCCACCGTGGCGAGCTCTGTTGCCGGCTCTCACACCTGGTCTGACGTTGTGGGCTTTGGCTCCGCGGCGATCCTCAGCTGTCACAGTCAATGGCGATGACTCGTCGGTCACAGCGGGCTCTGGCTCTCCGTCAACGGTGGGCTTAGGCTTTGGCTCCGCGCAGCGGGGAGATGGTGGGCTGGGCTCTGGGTCTGGAGTGGCACTGGTGAGATGCTCTTCGGTGGGGCCGATGGTGAATGGCGATTTGTTGCTCACCAGCACCCACTCCACAAAGGCGGCGAATGAATTCCGAGGTCCACCTCCGGACAACTGCGCTCTGCACTCCTCGTTGAGGCTCGTCTGGAACTCCAGCAGCAGGAGGAGGACATCGGGGTGATGTCCGTGTTTCAGGAGGGGAAGGAGATCTTTCAGGTAATCCATGAATAAAAATAAAAACTGACAAAAAAACAGAAACTAAACGGATAGAAGGGGCATCGCTACTTTAACTTTTCAGGGTCCGGTATTCTGTCACGGCTGTGTCGAGGAAGGTACACGAGAACGATGATAGAATTCATATGTAGTTTAATAACATCCAAGACAAAGATAATCCACAGAGAATGAAGGGTAGATACACACCAACACAAACGTAATACCGGACAAAGAAACACTGAACAGAATGCAACTTATATGGAGAACCTAAATGAGGATAATTACTAGTGCACCTGAACATAATGACACAATCAACAGGAGACAGAAACTAGGTCACACAGAGCACATGGGAAATGAAAACAGTCCTGGGGTGTGACAGTTATAATAGCATTAGTATTATTTAGATAATGTTATTTTAAAATATACTGTATTTTGTTAATAATAATAATAATAATAATAATAATAATGTATTATGATTTATAAATAAATAATAATCTATTTTATAAATTTATTAATTATTAGTTATATGTAATGTTTTTGTTGTATTATTAATATTATTTAGATAGATAATGTTGTTATTTGAACCGTATTTTCATATAATATCAAATAAAAACAACAATAGTTAATCTGTAATTATTATACTGTTTTATACTACTATTTATATTAACAACAATAAAAATGCTAATTAATATTATTGTGATAGTTACTGTTTTCAAATTCACTGTATTTTAATATTACATCAAATATACACTTATTATTATTATTATTATTATTATTTAGAAGATATTGTTATTATTAGAAATATATTGTATTACGATGTATTAATTATTAGTTATGAATATGTAATATATATTAATATTATTTAGATAGATAATATTGCTGTTATTTGAAAATATGCAGTATTTTTTTATATAATATCAAATAAAAACAACATTGGATGCGATTAATCGCGATTAATCATTTGAAAGCACTAATATATATATATATATATATATATATACTAAAAACACAACAATGCTTAATCTGTAACCATTATACTATTTTTATACCACTACTATTTCAGAATTATTAAGAATAATAATTTTATTATTTACAGTCATTATCTGAAAATACTACATTTTGATATAATATCACATATATGAAAATATAGGCTTTTGTATATTAAGTATTATATTTTTTTGTATATCATTTTTGTTAATGCAAATATAGATTTTAGAGCCAAACAAAAAGCTCTCAGACGTCTTTTCTCTGCTGTAACAGGACAAACGGAGGCGGTACAGCATGATGCGTTCCAACGAGTCGTCCAGTTCAGTGTTCTATCACTCTCAAGAGGAGGATGCTGGGAAGGTTTCCTCTGACGGTCAGGGGCCGCACAGGGACAATCAAGTCAGCTCGCTGTTTGACGGTTGCTAGAAACTTAATTTGCTGTAAAGTTGCTTTGCAACGATTTGTATCGTGAAAAGCGCTATACAAATAAACTTGAATTGAATTAATCTGGAATTATTATACTATATTTCTATACTACTATTTATAATAATAATAATAATAACAACAACAACTATTATTATTATTATTATAGTTGCTGTTTTCACATTTACTGTATTTTATAATTACATCAAATATACACAAATTATTATTATTTACATAATATTGTTATTATTTGAAAATATATTGTATTTTGATGTATTACAATGTCATATATATATACTAGTGCTGTCAAACGATTAATTGCAATTAATCGCATCCAAAATAAAAGTTTTTGTTTACATATTAGTGTGTACTGTGTATATTTATTATGTATATATAAATACACACACATGCATGTATATATTTAAGAAAAATATGCTATGTTTATATATT